AGCCATTGCTGATGCTACTTCTGTAATATCTTTGTCTCTATGCCGTTTCAGATGTCTCAGCTCCTCTTCTAATCTCTGTATCTTGTTTTCTGCTGCTGTGGCATGTTGCTTCCACCTTCTGCATTCTGCTGCTAACCTCTCCTCCATCTTCCTTGCAAGCTCATCTAGCCTCCTTCCCCAGTTTTCCTCACTTTTTTTGAGCTCTGCCTCCCAGTCCTCCCTCCCAGATTCGTCCTTCGGGCCCCTTGTTCTCATCCTAGTTCTAGTTTCCCCCATTGCTCCACAGAAGGAAGGGGGAGAGGTGGTTAGGGGGAGGAGAATAGGTGGTTAGGGGGAGTGGGGATGGATGGTTATGGGGAGTGGGGATGGATGGTTATGGGGGAGGGGAAGGATGGTTATTGGAGGGGGAGAGGTAGTTGGGGGAGGGGGTTAGATGGTTTGGGGGAGGGGTTAGATGGTTTGGGGAGGGGTAGGTGGCTAGGGTAAGGGGGAGAGGTGGTTAGGGGAAGGGGGAGCACGTCTTTGTGTCAAGTGTATATGTGCTTGTGTATGTGTGTGTTTGCATGTGTGGGAGAGAGAGGGATGGGGCTAAGGGGGGGGGGGGGAAAAGAAAGGATGAGTGACCCTTAGAAGCAGGGGAGGTGTGTGTGTGTATGGGATTAGAAGGGGAGGGAGGGGAATGTGTGTGTGTGTGTGTGTGTGTGTGTGGTGTGTTTTGTGTGTGTGTGTGTGTGTGTACATGGTTTTTTGTAACTGTGCTGGCACTGTGTTCAATGAAACAGTGGCACTGTGCACTGAAATAAGACAGTGGTAAGAGGATACTAGTGTTTACGTGGATTCTAGGAAGGATTTCTAGACTCTTCCTAGAAGCCTTTCATTTACTTCTCCTAGGCTAAGCAACTGCATATTTTAAAGTAGAGGTTGGCCCTATAATATATATAAAAAACAAAAGGTATATGTGTAAAGAGGCACATAATTAATAGTTCATAAGCTGTAGTAGAATTTTAATCCGACTCCTGGAAACAAAATTCTTTGTAGTTTTATAATTGAATAATTGAAGTTTAGTGTTTAATGTACCATAATAGGAAGCAGCGATCAAACTTTGCCTTTTTTTATTACAGAACAACAAGCAGTAGTCAGCAGCTTTATTTGAAGAAGGAAGCTTACCTTGTCTTCTGCAACCCGCCTCTCATGGTTGGGTACTCCCAGTCAATGTCTAGACCATCGAAATTATGTTCCTTCAGCAGAGCGATGGTGGTGGTGATGATGTCTGCCTCATTGCTGGGTCTGCTGCCATCTGTATATTTTAAGACCATTGAAATGTTAGGGAAAATGTCAGGTATTCATGAGTCTTCATTGTCATACTTTCTTAATAAGAAATGTGTGTGCACCTAATTATGGGTTGCAGGGGTTGAGCATAGCTTCTGGCCTCGCCAGGAGCTATGTCTCAACCCCTGCAGCCCACAATTTTTTATTGGTCGCTGCTAGGTTCACTCCTGCTCCATGAGCTTAATCAAACCTTTCTTAAAGTATGTATGGATCCTGCCTCCACTACATCACTCTCCAAACTATTCACTTCTGACACTCATAACTGAAGAAATACTTGCTAACATCCTCGTGAATCGTCTGAGTCTTCAGTTGCTATCCGTGGTTGCTGTGTCCCATCTCTGAAACATCCTGTCCGTATCACCTTGTCAATTCCTCTCAGTATTTTATATGACGTTATCATGTCCCCCCCCCTATCCCTCTTGTTCTCCAGTGTTGTCAGGTTGATTTCCCTTAATCTCTTTCATAGGATATGCCCCTTTGCTACGGGACCAGTCTTGTTGCAACCTTTGCATTTTCTCTAATTTCCTGACGTGCTTGGCCTAGGTGTGTGGTTCCAAACTGGTGCTGCGTACTCCAATATGGGCCTGACGTACACGGCGTACAGGGTCCTGAACGATTCCTTACTGAGAGGGAATGATATTCTTCCGTTTGCCAGGCACCCACAATGTTGCAGCAGTTATTTGGGTGATGTGGACCTCAGATGTGCTTGGTATTATACCAACCCCAAGGTCCTTTTCCTTGAGTGAGGTTGCAGTCTTTTGCCCTAGACTGTTACTCTGTGTGTTACCATTTTGTCTTAGAACACTTGCGATTAGACTTACGTGTGTATGAGATGTGTGGGGTGTGTTGTGTTGTGTTGTGTGTGTGTGTGTGTGTGTGTGTGTGTGTGGTTGTCTCATCTATTTGTGGTTAGAAGGGGTCGATTCATAACTCCTAGCTCCGACTCTTCACTTGTCGCTACTAGGTCCTCTCTCCCCTGCTCCATGAGACTTTATCATACCTCGTCTTAAAACTATGTAGAGTTCCTGCCTCCACTACATCACTTGCCAGACTATTCCACTTCCTGACAACTCTATGACTAAAGAATACTTTTTTACATCTCTTTGACTCATACGAGTCTTCGACTTGCAATTGTGACCCTTGTTTCTGTGTCCCTCTCTGGAGCATCTTGTCTTGTCCACCTTGTCGTTCCTCGCAGTATTTTGTATGTCGTTATCATGTCTCCCCTTACCCTCCTGTCCTCCAGGGTCGTCAAGCCAGTTTCCCTTAACCTTCCTTCGTAGGACATTTCGTTTAGCTCTGAAACTAGCCTTGTTGCAAACCTTTGCACTTTCTCTAATTTCTTGACGTGCTTGATCAAGTGCGGGTTCCAAACTGGTGCTGCATCTCAAATATGGGCCTGACGTACACGGTGTACAGAGTCTTGAACGATTCCTTACTGAGGTATCGGAACGCTATTCTCAGGTTTGCCAGGCGCCCATATTGCTGCAGAGTTATCTGGTTGATGTGTGCCTCAGGAGATGTGCTCGGTATTATACTCACCCCAAGATCCTTTTCCTTCAGTAAGGTTTGCAGTCTTTGGCCACCTATCCTATACTCTGTCTGCGGTCTTCTTTGCCCTTCCCCGATCTTCATGACTGCATTTGGCGGAGTTATATTCGAGGAGCTTGTTCCTAGACTAGGCTTCAGCCTGTCCCGGTCTCTTTGTAGTCCTGCTGATCCTTATCCCATTTAATTTTCCTCATTAATACATTGTCTGCAAACAGGGACTCTTTTGAATCTATCCCTCCGTCATGTCATTCACATATTCTAAAAAAAACACTGGTCTAGGACTGACCCTGTGGGACCAAGCTCGCTTACAGGCCCCACTCGGACACCTCGTCACGTACCATGGGCTCGTTGCCCCCTGTCAGGTATTCTTGATCCATTACAGTGCCCTTCCTGTTATGCGTACCTGTCCTTTAACGTTTTTACTAATCTTTTGTAGGAACTGTTGTCGGCGGCCTTTTGTAGTCCAAGAAAATGCAATTACCCCCACCTCTCTCTCGTGTCTTTCTTTCCGTTAACCTTTTCATAAACTTGAGTAGGTTGGGGACACAGGATTTTTTCCCTTTATGAATCCCTGCTAGTTGTCGTTTTATAAGCTTGTTTCGTTCCGGTGCTCCCCCCCTTTCCCGTAATCTTCTCCCTGATTTACTACTATACATGTCAGTGACATGGTTCTAGTTTAGGCCGTGTTTCTCTTTCTTTAAAAAAAAGGACTACATTTGCATCTTCCATACTCGGGTGTTACCCAGTTTCAGTGGATGGTTGAAAATTGTTGTTAGGGCACACACAGATCTCTGCTTCTCTTAAGAACCCATAGAGAGATGTAGTCCTCGCCTTTGAGGTATCAAGTTACTTGCAGCTTCTTCACCTCCTCCTCGGTTGTGTGTATTTCACCCCGCACTTTTTGTAATCCCTTGTTTGGGGGACCACCCTTTTTTGACTTTCTGGGTTTTTTTTAAATCTCATGTTTAAATCCTCACATATTCTGGGCGTTTTTTTGAGATCCCAATCTTCCCCTTTCCCCAGCCTGATTACCTGGTCCTTGAATTTGTCTTCCCCCTTTTGGGGCTAACAAAGCGTGGCATACAAAAGAGTAGTTACAATTTTTTCTGCGTATGTACACCCCTATGGCTACCTCTAAACCAGGAATCAAAACTAAAGGTTTAAAAATCAGTTAATAATAATAATAATAATAATAAAAATAATTATAATAATAAAATAAAAATAAAACAACAACAACAACAAACAACAACAAAACAACAACAACAACAACAACAAAACAACAAAAACAACAACAAAAACAACAAAAACAACAAAATAATAATAATAAAAAATAATAATAATAATAAAATAATATCTTGATTTATCAGTAAATGTAAAGGTAACAGGGCCCAGCGATTTCAATGACATAATATATACAGAAAGGCCGTTGTTTTTCTGAGCATTTCGGGAAATTACGAAGTTTATGTCCCCGGATGGACCCACACCGGTAAAACCGTTTTCATGATGGGTGAACAGGGACAGCAGGTGTCTTATGGAAACACGTCCCCCAAAGTTTTCCAGTGACCCGGAAGAGATTCGACCCCCGGACCTCAGTGTGTGAGCTGGGTACACTAGCGATCGAGTAGGGACACCAGTGGGTATTTGTCGTTAAAACAGTACCCTTTGGGTTTATTTTAACACGAAAGCCCGCCAAAATTGAAGGAAATGTGGTTCATTGTGGTAGTTTGTTGACTTGCCTACCCGCTGAAAATAGTGTAACACCTGTATTAGTGGGGGGAAGGAAAATATACATTATAGTTATGCTGAGATTATTTTCTCCAATTCCCATACGAAAAAATTCATAGGCCCTTTTTGACCCGTGTTGTAATAAAAGCTTCGGTTTTAGACTTTACTTTTTTTTTTCGTGCTATGTCGTTTTTTACTGTCGTGAGCCTTCCCCCTTATTGTGCATTTTCTCTTTTCTGGCTCTTCGACAAATCTCTTTGTTTTGCTGGTCCTTTGTCTTCTGTAATTTTTTCCATTCTTTATCGTACTTAGTTTTTGCCTTCTAAAACCTTTGGGTAACCAAAAGGGCCCTCGTTTTGGTCTTCCATTATTGCTGTTACTCTTGGGGAACAAACCTTTCTTCTGCCTCTTTTGCATTTTGTTGTCACTTTGTTCATATTTCGATTACTGATTTTTCTACCAATTCTCTTTCCAACTGGAACCTCTGCAGAGTTCCTCTTGCCTTGTGTCATTCCTTTTTGTAGTTTGGCTTTTTCCATCTTTACTTCTGTTTACTCTATCCATGGTTATCCTTCTGTACTCACCTGGTTATTGTTGAGGGGTCGATTCACAGGTCCTGGCCCCGCCTCTTCACTGGCTACTAATCGTACTCTTCCCGCTCCATGAGATTTTTCATACCTCTTCTTCAAAAGCTAGTATGGATCCTTCCTCCACTACATCATTTCTCAGACTATCCACTTCCTGACAAATCTGTGACTGAAGAAATACTTAATAACATCCCTGTGATTCATCTGAGTCTTCAACTTCCAACTGTGCCCCCTTGTTGCTGTGTCCCCATCTGGAACATCCTGTCTCTGTCCACCTTGTCATTTTCTCTTGGTTTTTTATTGTCGTTATCATATCCTCCCCTTTCCCCTCCTTCAGGTCGATTTCCCTTAACCTCTTCTTCGTAGGACTTACCCTTTGTATGGTTGTCTTGTGTTGCAACCGCGCTTGTGTGTGTGTGTGTGTGAGTGTGTGGTACTCACCTAGTTGTACTACTAGTTGAGGTTGCGGGGGTCGAGTCGAGCTCTGGACCCGCCTCTTCACTGACGCTTCATAGTTCACTGTCCTGAGCCGTGGGGCTTTATCATACTCTGCTTAAAGCGATGTATGGATCCTGCTCCACTACATGCTTCCCAAACTATCCACTTCCTGACTTGTGGCTGAAGAAATACTTCCTAACATCCCTGTGATTCATCTGTGTCTTCAATTTCCAGCTGTGTCCCTTTGTGCTGTGTCCCATCTGTGGAACATCCTGTCTTTGTCTACCTTGTCAATTCCTCTCAGTATTTTGTATGTCGTTATCATGTCCCCCTATCTCTCCTGTCCTCCAGTGTCCGTCAGGTTGATTTCCCTTAACCTCTCCTCGTACGACATACCTCATACCTCTGGGACTAGTCTTGTTGTAAAACCTTTGCAACTTTCTCTAGTTTCTTTACGTGCTTGGCTAGATGTGGGTTCCAGACTGGTGCCGAAATACTCCAATATGGGCCTAACGTACACGGTGTACAGGGCCCTGAACGATTCCTTATTAAGATGTCGGAATGCTGTTCTGAGGTTTGCTAGGCGCCCATATACTGCAGCAGTTATTTGGTTGATGTGCGCTTCAGGAGATGTGCCTGGTGTTATTACTCACCCCAAGATCTTTTTCCTTGAGTGAGGTTTGTAGTCTCTGGCCCCCTAGACTGTGTTCGTCTGCGGTCTTATTTGCCCTTTCTCAATCTTCATGACTTTGCACTTGGTGGGATTGAACTCCAGGAGCCAATTGCTGGACCAGGTTTTGCAGCCTGTCTAGATCCCTTTGTAGTTCTGCCTGGTCTTCGATCGAATGAATTCTTCTCATCAGCTTCACGCCATCTGCAAACAGGGACACTTCGGAGTCTATTCCTTCCGTCATGTCGTTCACAATACCAGAAACAGCACTGGTCCTAGGACTGACCCCTGTGGGACCCTCCTGGTCACAGGTGCCACTCTGACATCTCGCCACGTACCATGACTCGCTGCTTTCTTCCTGACAAGTATTCCCTGATCCATTGAAGTGCCTTCCCTGTTATCCCTGCTTGGTCCTCCAGTTTTTGCACCAATCTCTTGTGTGGAACTGTGTCAAACGCCTTCTTCCAGTCCAAGAAAATGCAATCCACCCACCCCTCTCTCTCTTGTCTTACTGCTGTCACCATGTCATAGAACTCCAGTAGGTTTGTGACACAGGATTTCCCGTCCCTGAAACCATGTTGGCTTGCTGTTGATGAGATCATTCCTTTCTAGGTGTTCCACCACTCTTCTCCTGATAATCTTCTCCATGATTTTGCATACTATAACACTTCTCTGTATTCATGTTCAAATAAATAAATAAATAAATACATGTTAGTGACACTGTGTGTGTGTTTTTATGTATGTGTGTGTGTGTGTGTGTGTGGTGGTGTGTGTGTGTGTGTGTGTGTGTGTGTTGTGTGTGTGTGTGTGTGTGTGTGTGTATGTGTGTGTGTGTGTACTCACCAATTTGTACTCACCTAATTGTGGTTGCAGGGGTCGAGATCAGCTCCTGGCCCGCCTCTTCACTGATCACTACTAGGTCCCTCTCCCTCTCTGCTTCCTGAGCTTTGTCATACCTCTTCTTAAAGCTATGTATTGATCCTGCCCACTACTTCACTTGCTAGACTATTCCACTTCCTGACACTCATGTACTGAAGAAAATACTTCCTAACGATCCCTGTGATCGTCTGAGTCTTCAGCTTCCAGTTGTGACCCCTTGTTTCTGTGTCCCCTCTCTGGAACATCCTATCTCTGTCCACCTTGTCTATTCCCGCAGTATTTGTATGTCGTTATCATGTCCTCCCTGACCCTTCTGTCCTCCAGTGTCGTCAGTCGAATTTCCCTTAACCTTTCCTCGTACGGGCATTCCCCTGAGCTCTTGGGACATGCCTTGTTGCAAACCTTTGTACTTTCTCTAACTTTTGACGTGCTTGACAGGTGTGGGTTCCAGACTGGTTGGCTGCATACTCCATATGGCCTAACATACACAGTGTACAGTGTCTTGAACGATTCCTTATTAAAGGTATCGGAACGCTATTCTCGGTTTGCCAGGCGCCCATATGCTGCAGCAGTTATTTGGTTGATGTGTGCCTCCGGTGATGTGCTCGGTTTTTATGGCCCACCCCAAGGTCTTTCTCCCTGAGTGAGGCTTTTAGTCTTTGTCCACCTAGCCTATTACTCTGTCTGCGGTCTTCTTTGCCTCCTGTTTTGTGTGTTTTGTATGTGTGTGTGTGTGTTTGTGTGCGTGTGTGTGTGTGTGTGTGTGTGTTTGGTGTGTGTGTGTGTGTGTGTGTGTATGTGCGTGTGCACGCGCGCTTGTGTGTGTGTGTGTGTGTTCTTAATAATGTGTATAACACAAGTTACTCACTAGTTTAGTTTAATATATTTATTATGCACACCATACCCATGGTGTGGGTGGTAGTCAAAAGATTACAGAAGTACATAATGGGTCCAGGGACTGGACCCCAAAGTTGTGATAGTTGAGCAAGTTACAAAGGTAATGAACTCCAGGTAGATCTGGTCACAATCATGGCAAGTTACAGAGATATTGAATCAGCTTCACTCCTATACGTGGTTACAGTCATGAACAAATTACAAAGTAATGAACCACTGATACGTCCACACCTGGTCACAATTGTAATGAGTTATAAATACAAATATTAAGTGGATTATACACCCACATGAGCGCTCACACACACCAGCGCTCACACACACGAGCGCGCACGTACACGAGCGCTCACATACACGAGCGCTCACACACACGAGCGCGCACACACACGAGCGATATGACCCAGGTGACAAATTTTCAGAGAATTTGGTGGTTTGCGAGTGGAAGGATACGGCCTGTCAAAGTAATTTTCAAGGAAGAATCAGTTCGAACCAGGATTCTGCAAGAGAAAGCAAGACTGAGGGACAAACAGGGGTACCAGAGAGTATACCTCGACCGCGACAGAACACAAGAAGAAAGGACTACACTGAAAGAGAGAGTACAGAGATGCAAGGAGGAACGAGAGGCAATGACGAAGATGAGCAGGACCCAGACACAGGAGGAAGGGCATACACACCCCACAGAATCTCCCACCAAAAGACTCCAACCGTGACATTCCCAACGCAACTGAGCAACCTATAGTACAACCCACTCACTGTTCCCTCTGCCACCAACCCCCATATCACAAACCTCACCCCAACAGCTGTCCTTATGGGCATTCTGACCCCACCCCCATCATCACAAACCCCCCCTACACAACAGCCCCATATAGGCCCCCCCCAAAGGGTCTCCTCCTCCCCCCAACCCCAATATTCTTGCATGACCACAGTGATAGAAAAGAAAAATGAAAATTTGGTACACAAACGCGGATGGAATAACGAAATAACATGAGGAGTGGAACAAAAGAATCAGTGAAAAAATCCCCAGACATCATAGCAGTCCAGAAACAAAACTTTGCTGAGACAATAACAGACACAAAACTTCCCAATGGGATATCAGATCCTGAGGGGAAAAATAGAAGGAAATAAGGGGGAGGAGGGGGGTTTCACTGCTTTATAAAAAAACCGATGGGGATTTGAGGAAATGGAAGGCATGGGCATGATTGGAGAAAGAGACTACATTGTAGGTAAAATTCAGTCCAGAGAACATAAAGTAGTCATTGGAGTGATGTATAACCCACACAGAACTGCAAAAGGCCAAGAGAGGAGTACGAAGAAAACAACAGGTGATGGGTGGTGATGGG